ACTAATTAACTGTCGTTCTCATTAATTACATTGATCGGGAATCATAAAATAATTCTAAAATTGCCAAACACGATCAGTCGGAGGAAAATGGTTTCGCTTTAATCCTTTAATGACACGGGGTGGGGGTGATTAATCAGATTGCATAGATGGATGGCACTGTCACACGCCTATCCTTTCTCTTACTAACCCGTGTTTCATAGTTTCCTGTAGGTTTTTTTCCCCCTTCTTTTTTCATATAAAAACAAATCTGTGCAATTAAACCCAGTTGACGAGGAAGAAACTTGCATTTCATCCAGGCGCTAATTAAGCAGTAAGACACCACCGAGTTTTATGTGGCTGGTGAGGGACAAGATTAAATCACTATCAGGAGGAAATTTCACCCACCGAGGAAATGCCATGAAATCTCCATTTGGGGTCTGCATTTTGTGTTTTTAATGCCTGCATCACTTCCCAGTGTGAACATCCTTGCGCAGCGACAACAGCAACCACAAAAAGAGCAGATAGAACAAGAGCTAACAACATTGTTATGCATCAAGCAGTCAAATTCTATCTTTGAAATGATACTTGATATCATGTTTCTGAAGGTGGCATCCTGGTTTTTTTGTGAAAGAGGAATTTGTCAGGAGTTGAATAGAACAGAATAGAATTCTTTGTTGGCCAAGTGTGATTGGACACAAGGAATTTGTCTTTGGTGCATAGTTGAATAGAATATAGAATAACAGATCTGGAAGGATCCTTAGAGATTTTCTGGTCCAACCCCCTCTACAAACAGGAGACCCTATACCAGTGATGGCTAACCTTTTTGCCGTCACGTGCCAGGAGTGGGGGGTTGGGGAGGTCACGTGGGCGTGTGCCCACACCCATAATTCTATGCGCCCTGCCCCCATGCATGCACATGTGACAACCCCCCCATGCTCCTGGCATGCGATGGCATGGTAGGCCCGTTTTTTGCTGTCCCCAGCCTCCAGAGCCTTTCTAGGAGTCTGGGGAGGGCAAAAACAGCCTTTCCTACCCACCTGGAGGCCCTCCGGAGACCAAAAACAGCCTGTTTGCCAACTTCTGGTCCCACAGGAAGTTGATAAATGGGTTGTTTCTGGCCTCCGAAGGGTCTCCGGGAGGAGGGGAAGCCGTTTTCACCTTTCCCAGACTTCTAGAAAGGCTCTGGAGGCTGGGGACAGCAAAAAACAGGCTAAATTCCATTTTTGAAATGACATCGAGGAATTCCTGTTTTGAAAAGTAGCGTTTTGGTTTTCGGTTAAAGAGGAGCGGAAAAGTCCAAACAATATCCCAGAGTTGGCTTTTCCAAGAAGACAACTGCACCAAATTTCTTGCTCGATCCATTATCCATTAGACTTCTAATGTAGGGAGATCCAGAGAAGATCTTCAAGTCATAACTAATGACAGGAAATCCATCGCTTCCGGTCAGCGAATGAGTTCATTAGGCCATCAGGCCAACACACCAAGAATTTTGGGCCTATTCGTAGGTATTTTGAGTCTGTAGAATCTCAAACCTTGATTTTGTAAAACGAAGTCACGTCGACTTGCTTCGTTGCCTTGCTTGCCAGTTTCCACTCATCGCTGCCATCTGCCCTTTCAGTTTCTATTTTGCCTCCCAAGGAGGGCATCTGTTAAACAGTGTAGTTTCGGCTTGCTCCCTTCCAAGAATGGGTTTCATAACGATAATGGGGTCCCAAGGTTTGAGAACCCCCAAACTTAGGTTTCAGCTCTTACCACGGTTAATTTCAATCTCGGTTCTTCTCGTCAAACATCACTAAGGCTTTCGATGATCAAATCCCTGACCTTTTGTAAAGAGGAGAAGATTTGGTTAGCTTGGCCCGTAGTTTGCTCAGAACAAAACCTCCCAGCTGTTAACTGATTTGCATGTTGGACCGTTGTTCTTTTCATGACTCTCCTGCCTTCCAGCTTTTTTGGTGGCCTGCTGCTCTCACGATTAGCAAAGACGTCTCAAAGTGGCATCTGAGCATAGCTCATCTGATCCCTGTTTTGCAACCTTCTGGCAAGCAAAATCAATGGGGAAACCACTGAACAACTTGTCCTACTAACTTAACAACTGCAGCGAGTCAGCCGGAGGTGGGTTTCAGCAGGTTCTGACCAGTTCTGGAGAACCGGTAGCAGGAATGTTGAGTAGTTCGGAGAACCGGTAGTAAAAATTCTGACTGGCCCCACCACCTTCTATTCTCTGCCTCCTGAGTCCCACCTGATCGGGAGGGAATGTTTTTTCCCTGCTGAGGTTACCTAGTAAGGTAATGAAATGTCTACAAGAAAACCACCAAACTCAGAGAGCACCAAGGACTCCATAGTTCAACCCTGAGCTACAGAGATTCTCCTCTAGTGGATGTCCTACTTGAAAGAGCCTGTAGTACAGTGGACTAAAGCACTGTTATTAACATCTGCTGCTTGCAATTACTGCAAGTTCAAATCTCACCAGGCTCAAGGTTGACTCAGCCTTCCATCCTTTCAAAGGTAGGTGAAATGAGGACCCAGATTTTGGGGGCAATAAGCTGACTTTGTATAAAATATACAAAAGTATGAAGGCTATTGCTTAACACATTGTAAGCCACCCTGAGTCCCCGGAGAAGGGCGGCATATAAATTAAAGCAATAAATAAATAAATAAATATGGATATTAAACATCCTTTGCTATCACAGGCTCTATATTATCAGAGCCCCTGCCTGAATGAAAGCAGTTAGCCAATGCCCCTTCCCCAAAATTTATCCTGGATGTTTTCTATCAGTTCTCAGTCCACGTAGTGAAGGAGAATTTCCCCCAGGTTGTCTGACACCAAGTACTACGTTAAATCTGTCATGTAGAGATGGGTACCACGAGAAGCATCAGTTATTAGCTAAATTACCCTTAAGTAGTGGAGCTAAAAGGACTTCGTAACCAAAAGCAAAAACCCGACAACTTCTAAAAAATGCATACCAGAAGTGCTTAAAAGGATTTGTCGTTTATGCTGTCATCCTTCCTTTTTTGCATTTAAAGATGAGGCATTAATTAAAAACAGCCAGCGTTTTCATTATACTAATCATTTGCTATCGTCTTAATGCATTAGTTGTTTCATACTTTGCTGACTCAGGGGGGGGGGAAGCATTTGTGGGTAAACTATCCGAAGAACAAGTTGATATCGGAGCAGCTGAGCTGGTCAGCCTGCCCATTGCAGGGGTGGCTGACCAAAGAACGGGAATAATGCAATGATCTTTATTCATCATCTTCTTTCTTGCATTCTGTTGCAATGGTTTACCAACGATAAAGGCTGTGTTCACCCAAGCAAAACCACAATAGGGTTGTATGTAGGAAATGTGCAGGCTGAGCTGGAAGGTGGGGTTAAACTTGTCATCAGTTTAGAATCTTTGCATTCCCACAAGAGATTTAAGTCCAGCTCTCCATGAATTCCATTGACTCTTACCTGGCGCCAATTTAGCTTTCACTGTTAATCGACCAGATTCTGATGTTGTTGTTGTGAATTGCGAAGTCATGTCTGACCCATCGCGACCCCATGGACAACATTCCTCCAAGCCTTCCTGTCCTCTACCATCCCCTGGAGTCCATTTAAACTCACGCTGACTGCTTCAGTGACTCCATCCAACTACCTTGTTCTCTGCCGTCCCCTTCTTCTTTTGCCCTCAATCGTTCCCAGCATTAGGCTCTTCTCCAGTGAGTCTTTCCTTCTCATTAGGAGGCCAAAGTATTTGAATTTCATCTTCAAGATCTGGCCTTCTAAAGGGCAGTCAGGGTTGATCTCCTCCAGGACTGACCAGTTTGATTGCCTTGCAGTCCAAGGGACTCAAAGGAGTCTTCTCCAGCGTTCCTTATGGTCCAACTTTCACAGCCATCCATTGCAACTTCTGATGTATTAGTAGCAATAACAAACTCTTTAGTGCTTTGAACTCAGTGAGTGTTCCTCATTCTTGTCTGTGATTTGATCCAGAGGTCCAGGAAGAGATGTTGGCACTGCCATGCTTGAGGATTGAGTTAGTTTTGCAGGAAGAAGTAAGGGGAGGGGGTGTAAAGCTTGTCAGGAAATCAGCCCCTCTTGTTCTCAAGAAGATTCAGTTTTGAATTGACTTGAATTGAGAGGAAGAGAACCTTTGGTCAGTGGTGAAATCCAATTTTTTTTACTACCAGTTCTGTGGGCGTGGCTTGGTGGGCGTGATGTGGCTTGGTGGGCGTGGCAGGGGAAGGATACTGCCAAATCCCCATTCCCACCCCACTCCAGGGGAAGGATACTGCCAAATCACCATTCCCACCCCACTCAGAGGTGGCATTTGCCTGTTCTCCAAACTACTCAAAATTTCCGCTACCGGTTCTCCAAACTACTTAAAATTTCCGCTACCGGTTCTCCAGAACCTGTTAGAACCTGCTGGATTTCACCCCTGCCCTTGGTTCTCCAGACTCTGCTAAACTACAATTCCCAGAACCCCTCCCTCCTGGCTATATTAGCTAGGTCTATTGGAAACTGTAGTTGTGTAGCATCCAATGGGTTGTAGGTTCAACAGGCTTATATTGATGTGATACATTAATGGAAAATGGTTTTCTGGGCTTTGTGACAAGACATATGAGGTTCTCCATTGGTTGAGATCTTGGAGGTGGCCTCATAATTTGCAGAATTACATGGTCAGCATTCTTCTAAAAATGAGAATTCTTTCCCCCCTCAATTTTTAGAAACTGAACTGGTCAGAGGAACCTTAGATCACTGACACAGTTGTGCTTTTGACCATAGCTGAAGCAACGGAGTATTTTACGAGCTCAGGAAAAAAAAAAAAAAAAGAATGCATAGTTCAAATATTCTGTCCTCCACCGAGGAAGCAGCCAGAAATTTCTTGGAACAGCTCGGAAGCTGTGGTTGCATCTGCCAGTGAAGACAATTGCTGACGTTGTGAAGCTCAGTGCTGGCTGGACATTGTACCACCCCAGCTCTTAAGCACTGTTCTACTTTATACATCGCCATGGCAACTGAGAGATGGGATAATTTTAGAGTGTAAATACATATCAAGATTGACTGTTGAGCAGGCCAGGAGAAGACATGTGACTTTAGGGTAACTCGAAGGAGAGCAGAGAGGAGCTAGGAAACCCTAAAGGAAGAGATTGGGTTGTGTTTCCGGCATTCGGTCTCCTCTACCGTTGACAAAATATGGGTGGCAGATTAGGCAGTAGAGGAACAAATGAATGGGTGGCAAAGAAGGTATGGTTGATGGCACGTTTTGGTCATGATGAAGCTTTTGGACTGTATGTGCCAAATTCATGGGGACAGGATGAATTTGAACTGAGGATAAAACAATGCTGTAAACTGAGTTGTTACTTTTTTGTTTGATTGTTTGTTTCCTAAATGGATTGATACCGAACCAATTTGTTCCCATTTTTTAAAAATGAAACGATGCATCTGCGGCAGGGGTGGGTTTCAAAATTTTTTACTACCGGTTCTGTGGGCGTGGCATGGCTTGGTGGGCGTGGCATGGCTTGGTGGGCGTGGCAGGGGAAGGTTACTGTAAAATCTCCATTTCCTCCCGATCGGCTGGGACTTGGGAGGCAGAGAATAGATGGGGACGGGGCCAGCCAGAGGTGGTATTTACTGGTTCTCCGAACTACTCAAAATTTCCACTACCAGTTCTCCGAACTACTCAAAATTTCCGCTACCAGTTCTCCGAACTACTCAAAATTTCCGCTACCAGTTCTCCAAAGTACTCAAAATTTCCGCTACCAGTTCTCCGAACTACTCAAATTTCCGCTACCAGTTCTCCAAAGTACTCAAAATTTCCGCTACCAGTTCTCCGAACTACTCAAAATTTCCGCTACCAGTTCTCCGAACTACTCAAAATTTCCGCTACCAGTTCTCCGAACTACTCAAAATTTCCACTACCAGTTCTCCGAACTACTCAAAATTTCCGCTACCAGTTCTCCGAACTACTCAAAATTTCCGCTACCAGTTCTCCGAACTACTCAAAATTTCCGCTACCAGTTCTCCGAACTACTCAAAATTTCCGCTACCAGTTCTCCGAACTACTACTCAAATTTTCCGCTACCAGTTCTCCGAACTACTCAAAATTTCCGCTACCAGTTCTCCGAACTACTCTCAAAATTTCCGCTACCAGTTCTCCGAACTACTCAAAATTTCCGCTACCAGTTCTCCGAACTACTCAAAATTTCCGCTACCAGTTCTCCAGAACTGGTCAGAACCTGCTAAATATCACCTCTGATCTGCGGTAGAGTTTGGGTGACGCCGAATAAACTCTACTCGGCGAGGCATGCAGAAACTTGCCAGGTGAACCAGGAGGGCCCAGATCAAAGCAATCTTGTTTTTGCCTTAGCAACCTGTGTGAATGGCAGGAGATTTGTGAATCTGCAGGAGTGTCCCATTTTGCCTTGTGAAGAGACTTCTTTTTGCAGCGCGAGGTATGTGGTTTTGTGAAGCTACTTTAAAGAATTGCTTTTCTATGACCCTCGCAAAGCTGGTATGCATTATACATTGCATACGGATATTTAAAGCTGGGAAGCTCGTGGCAATCATACATTTTATAAAAGTTTTATCAGGTAGCTGAACTCGAAAGCATTCCTGCCTGAAAACATAGGCAATAATAATTCGACTTAAATTGGCTTGAAAACATCAGGCCGTTTCCTTCTATTGGCTTAAGAGTTTGCATTGCCAGTTCAATATTCTCTCCTCCTCCGTCCTACGCTTTCCAAGATTTCTCTTTTTCTCCTCAAGGCCTGCTTGATCCTGCTAAAGAGAGATGCTGAGAACTAAACCCTCCATCTGCAGACCAAGCAGAAATGGGTACCACTCGATTCCTGTAGATGCTTAATAAAGACAGCTTTTAAAACATGCCATAAAACCTTAGCGTGCTGTGCTACCGTAAAGAACCATCTGGACGTAGCCTATCGATTTAATATATTTTTAACTCACCCGCTAACCATGAGTAGATGTAAAAACTAAATTATACTGGATGCAATGGATGGGCTCTGGAAGGTACACCTTGAATAGAAGGTATTCTATTTTAGAATAGAATAGGATAGGATAGGATAGGATAGGATAGGATAGGATAGGATAGGATAGGATAGGATAGGATAGGATAGGATAGGATAGGATAGGATAGGATAGGATAGAATCAGTGGTGAAATCCAAATTGTTTTACTACCGGTTCTGTGGGCGTGGCTTGGTGGGCATGGCAGGGAAAGGTTACTGCAAAATCTCCATTCCCTCCCCATTCCTGGGGGAAGGATATTGCAAAATTTCCATTCCCACCCTATTCTGGGGCCAGCCAGAGATGGTATTTGCTGGATCTCCAAACTACTCAAAATTTCCGCTACCAGTTCTCCAGAAACTGTCAGAACCTGCTGGATTTCACCCCGAGAAGAGAAGAGAAGAGAAGAGAAGAGAAGAGAAGAGAAGAGAAGAATTGAAAGGGATCTTGGAGGTCTTCTAATCCAACCCTCTACTCATGCAGGAAACCCTATACCATGTCAGACAATAGTTCTCCAATCTCTTCTTAAAAACTTCCAGCAGTGGAATATGATTATCTTGAAACTCCCCCAAAAAACCAAAAGTGGCGTTATTAGCCATCAAACCTCAAAAATGCACTTTTCCCAAAAGGTTTCCACAAATTTGGCCACTACTGTACTTCACGTTATCTTGATTCTATGCCTCTGTTTATATAATACGATCTTCAGCGTTGTTTAATGTCATCTTTCTTTCATCTCGGGGAGTCCAGCAGACCCATCTGATGAAATTTTTTTTTTAAAATCTTTTATATCTTCTTTTTATTCCGCCAATATTTATCATATCTAGATTTTATCACTTCATTTATTGTAACATTTCCCCCAATTTCCTTACTTTTCAATTAATACATTTATCTATGCAACAATTTTATCCCCACCCATCCTTCAACCCCACCTCCCCACACACACACACACCGACTTCCCAGAGCAAAAACAGGGTATAACATTTAACAAACATAAGCTAAAATATGCTAACTTACTACAAGATTCAAAACTCCCTCACACTCTTTAACTCCCCTTTTAAAATTATTCATCAACCTATCCTTTATAAATTCTCATATCACTTTTCACATTTGTTAAATTATATCTAACTTAACATCTGATGAATTTTGATGTACCGTATTTTTCGGAGTATAAGACGCACCGGACTATAAGATGCACCTACCTTTTTTGGGGAGGAAAACAAGAAAAAGAAATCTGCCTCTGCCTCCCAGCAATTTTGCCTCGTTGCAGCAAACAGCAAACAGCCTGCTTTACTTTCATTTTCATTTTCAGTATAGCTTGATTAGCACAAGAAAAAAAAAATCTGCTCCAGCAATTTACCTCCTTGCAGCAAGCAGCAGAGGCTCACGCAAAACAGCTCAGAGCAAAACAGCTGAGAGTCGGGAGGCCATGTGCTAATTAGGCTGTGCTGAAGCTGAAAGGAGCTGTTTCTTCTTGCTGCTTGCTGCAAGGAGGTAACTGCTGGGAGGCAGAGGCCAAAGGATGGGGACCAGTGAGTGGGTGAGGCTACATTCGGTGTATAAGACACACCTAAATTTTCCACCCCCTTTTAGGGGGGAAAAGGTGTGTCTTATACTCCGAAAAATATGGTATATGCGGGATGCACATTCCGAAATGCAGAAACATGCCATCGGTTCCCTGATCCTCTCTTTTCTCCCAACCTCTTGAAAAGAGGCAGTTCTTCTTGTTTTTATTGTTTTGCTATGCTTGAAGAGGTGTGAGGGTCGGTGACTGCAAAAGTCGATAAACAAACCCAGTGGCTTCCCAGCCGAAGGCTACCTGATGAAGCGGAGCTGAATTTTAAATTATAGAGCGCTGGAGGCTCTTTCATGACTCGCCCTGGGCAATGCAGATCTACAAGCCATAACTTTGCACAACAGACTGTCAGTAACAAACGATTTCGTGGGGAATATAGCCCAACCCGGCTCACTTCGTCGAGCGTTGTCTCTCAGTTGGATGGAAAGAAAATATAGGTCGCTGCATTTGTTTTCGTCCTCTTGGCCCAATCCATTAACTTCTCTCTTTTTTTCCTCCTTCCCCACTTTTTTTCTTTTCTTCTCCATTAAAAGGAAGTTTATAGGGATGCGGTGGCTCGGTGGCTAAGACACTGAGCTTGTCGATCGAAAAATCGGCAGTTCAGCAGTTCGAATCCCTAATGCTGGGTAACGGTGTGAGTTCCTGTTACTTGTCCCAGCTTCTGCCAACCTAGCAGTTCGAAAGCACGTAAAAAATGCAAATAGAGAAATAGGGACCACCTTTGGTGGGAAGGGAACAGCGTTCCATGTGCCTTTGGCATTGAGTCATGCGGCCACATGACCACGGAGACGTCTTTGGACAGCGCTGGCTCTTTGGCTTTGAAACGGAGATGAGCACTGCCCCCTAGAGTCGGGAACGACTAGCACATATGTGCAAGGAGAACCTTTACTTTTATCTTTTAAAAGGAAATTTACCCAGGGAACAGAATCTTTCTTTTGTCCCTGATTCTCTTGTGTTGTCCTGACCTCTGCCTTGGGAACATCATCTCAGGATTGGAATCCAAGGTTTTCCCAGATACTTATATTTTAATTTAATGGCTTCTGGGTGAACAGCCATCTCTGTGGTCTTTCTCTCTCTTTGGCTTTTCATAAAATAATATCTCTAGAACAGTTAGGAATAGGTTTGGTTAGGATCAGAGATAAAATTCAGCCGGTTCATACCGGTTTGTGCGAACCGGTAGCAGAGATCGCGAGTGGGCCTACCCACCTGCCCCGGCTCTATGACGTCTCCATTTCCATCCTGGGAAAAGGATACTGCAAAATCTCCATTCCCACCCCACTCCTGGGGAAAGGATATTGCAAAATCTCCATTCCCACCCCACTCTGGGGCCAGCCAGAGGTGGTATTTGCCGGTTCTCCGAACTGCTCAAAATTTCCGCTACCAGTTCTCCAGAACCTGTCAGAACCTGCTGGATTTCACCCCTGATTGAGCCCTACCCTTTTGTTAA